CTGTAAGATTAGGTTATGTAGTCATCTTTCCATCCTTGTTAGAAGAGGGCCATCTGCAGGTAAAGGTATACACAGATTTCTAGTTGTATGTTATCATTCCTCTTACGTTCAGGAATATATACATGAGTTACAGTTCCACGTTTTGGCATATTTTTATGATGTTGAATTAAAAAGAAAATAATTATTGTATTAAGGTCCTTCAGTACTTTAGGAGTGCTAAATATCATTTGTTTTTCTACCAGTTCACAATGCACTCTGACCTTGGAAAAATTATTCAAAGTTTGTTGGATGAGTTTTGGAAGAATCCTCCAGTTTTGGCTCCTAGCCCAACATCATTTCCATAGTAAGTATTCATAGAAGTAACAAGAATTCCTAGAAAAGTTAAGAGGTCAGATTACCCTCTTTTCAAATTTATAGAAAACCTGGATGAGTGATTCTCAGGTACCTGTTTTTAAGAAACTGAAAAGTCCAAAGATGAAATGAGATGTAAAGGAACAAAACATGTTGCAGATATATAGGCAAACAAATGTAAATTAAGCAAATTTAAATGTGCACATATCTGATAATTTAGGACAAATTTGAAACTGCTCAGGTTAGGACCTGTTTACTTTACCCTTACTGTATTAGCATGGTAGTTTAACGTCAGTGCTTTTGTGCTTTTGAGGACTGATTGATGTGTACATCTAACAAATAAAAGTCTTGAGTTAGCTTCAGGTCATGATCCACGTGAGCATCACATGTCTTGCTTGATGCCCTGTTGATGACCTCAAGACTTTAATCTCCCAGGCTAGAAGGCAGCTCGCTTCTAACAAGATTGTGCATCTAAGGGATAATTGGATTAAGTATGTAAAGATACTACAGCGTTGTTTGTGCTACAGAAATTGCTTGTTGCAGGCAAGTGGTTTTAGGGCTGGATGTAGTTGAACATACCGCAGTTATGCTTTAAAAAATTGACATTTCAGGAGTAATTTTACACTTCTTTCCAATGCCCTTACGGGGTTTTTTTGCAGCATAAGCAAACCTTCATGGACAGCACAGGTCTATTTTAAGGACCTAATTTGGAAACAGAGCTTAAACAGATATTCTCACATTTTGAGAAAAGTATGAGACCTGAATTTACACTTCAGTTAGCTCTGTCACAAACGCATGCAAAACATTTCAGCTGTTTATCAGTATGTAGATAGATATTTCCTAATAATCCATGCCATTGTATGACTATCAGTACAATGTAAAGTAAAGTACGAAAATTTATCATTTGTGTGTCCTTATTTCACAACTAATATTTGTGAACTACTTTAAAAGCCAAAAAAATGTATCTTATATGTACTCTAGGAACCTCAGGCTTTTTGTAAATTGTAAATATTGTAAGTGAACAACAAGCATTTTAGTTGCTTATGGCAGTTTTTTTTAGCCTTTACAGTAAACCAGCTGGAATGCCTCCTTATGCTCCTCAGGGTTTTCCATTTCTTCCTCCATACCCACCACAAGATACAAATAGATCTATAGCTTCTGTGCCAGTTGCTGAATCAGTTCCTTCAAGTTACACTACAGATAAATCTGCTGCTCCCTCGTATGGCTTGATTGCTGATCTGCCTTTACCTGTTCCAACAACAGAAGGATTACTGCAGGTTTGTGCATGTGGTGAGGTTTGTTATTCAAGCTGTTTTCTGCTGCAGCTTTCAGAGCTAGTCTAAATTTTGGATAAGGTGGCTAAATCGGAATTTCACATAGAATTCAAAGGGGCAGGATGGGTGACTTCACTCATTTGCTTTGCTGGCAGCAACAACAGAAGGCAGTCATTCTGGCTGTGGCAAGAGCTTCTTAAATCAAACTAAAGCCAAAGCAGAGACTCTCTGCTTTCTCTAGCTGTGTGTTAATACCTTCATGTGTTCCTTTTGAGCCATGTAGGAATAGCCTCTGAACTGTTTAGTGGCTGTTTCGTCAGTTTTAAAGCAAAACTGTACATAGTTTCATACTGGGTTTTTCAGGTGAAGGCAGTAATGAAGTCTTCTCTCCATTGCATGTTTA